AAGGACACTTAATCACTTCCGTCTTGACTGTCTGTGGAGAATACCAAAGCTGGGTTGGCAGGAGCGGATTCCGGACAAGAAAGCCTTGGAGAAGACCGGAATCCTCAATATCTACGCCATGCTAGGGGAAACCCAATTGAAATGTTGCGGCTACGTCGGGATGATGGGCGACGAGAGATTACCCAAAGGACTCTTCTACATAGATGTCGCTCCGCGTACTCGCCGACTCTGAGAGCGCAGATCGACCTTGTCGGACATCTCCGGACCTAATGCAGCAACGGTCCGACTACTCCGATTTCAGTCCTCTCAAACACCTACGCCTGCACTAGTTGCCACGACGGAGAACACCATAACCAGTGATCACAGCTGACGCCTTGACACCTCATGTGACGTCGTCGAGCCCCACAACTACGATTGTCACCTCTACAGCACCCCACTACCAGTCAGAACATTCTCAACCACCACGACCTCACCGTCACCACCCTCCCACCGGCAATGTAGACCCTATCCCGACCTGTCACTACTGCGATCGCACATCATCCTACGCATCAGCCTGGTCGGTCTCTTGGGGATCCACTGCACTGAGAACGGCGCACCAGTGCCAGGAGTCCCGGCATACGCTCGCCACATCCGCCTTCAATCTCTGTACTGCCCACGCACACTCATTCGCCGAATGGGTTGATTTGGTCCAATGCGAATCCACACGCCACAATAGAGACGCACCTAGCGGACCTCGCACACCCAAAAACTCTCTCATCTCCAGCATTACCATCTACCCCTCCATCGGCGCGGTCACCACTGGCAACGTAACCACTTCAACCGACTCATCAGGTTCCTATCTGTCTTGTCCATATTGCCACCGCACATGCGCATCGCGTATCGACCTGGTTGATCACTCGTGAATCCATCTCAAAGAGGCTGACTAACCAGTGCCAGGAGCACCAAAATACACACACACTGCACCCGCCTCAGCTGTCTATACTGCCACGCACAACCAGTCAACGCATGGACCTACTCGACTACATGCGCATTCATGAAAATCTACGGTAAACCATTGCAAACCGAACACCATGACCAGATATCTCCTTACCAGTACATAACCACACACGAACCTCTCCCACATCGCCCGCTTCTGGAACGGAATCGGCACCTCTTACGCAAGTGAGAATCATGTCTTTCGGCTTCTTCTCCATGCTGGCAACCCCGCCACTAACACGTGTGAGGTCTCTTCAGTCTACCACCTCTGTCTCAAATCCTCGCACGTTATA